GCAATGAGTCGGCAAATTACAAATCTTGCAAATTTTTTATGAATAGATAAGAGCCAGTAATCATAATTTTGCAAGAGTCTGTAACACATACGTAGATACAATTAAAAGCCACTTGATTAACATTTTGAGGCCCCAAAAGAACTAATGCAAAACAATTAAACAAAAGATACTGAATAGATACAAATATTCTTATATCCACGAAGTAAGTTCAATCAAGCTTCTCTTAAGCTTAATTACCGGTCAATCCCCTTAGAAAGACTACTTAATTTCTAGTCCTGAACAGGTTTAAAATAGATAGAGAATTGAAAGGACTACAAGTCTAGTCATAACACGAGGTCACTGCCTGAAAACCGCGTCCGAGGTTTAGTCAGCAAGTCCCAGGTCAAGATTTCTGGTCTTATAAGGCCGACTGACATAGAATATACTAGCATCATCAGTTATGCACCAAAGACACTGGTTTAATTGGCTCTCCATGCAATTTCTATGCTTTGGACAGTCAAGGAATTCCCAAAATGGAAAATAGGCTTTTCAGATGAAATTCAATCAGATCTACAGAAGGGATGTAACGTTATGCAGAAAATCGATACACCTAGTCTATTCCGATAAATTCACTTGGATGTGTATTCGCAACACTACGTAGTCAACATAATTAACTGTTTATTCTTGAGTTCACACCACACCAAGTAATGCTTATCGTACTACATATGTATGTAATTACCGATTACATGTAGCGTTTGCATGTCAAGTCAGCGAATTGGTTAGGGTTGAATACTTTTCTATTCCTATGCAGAAAATTAATCTCATATTATAAAGCATTAGGTTCATAAAACCACAATTGCATAAGTCAAAGCTTTATTTTTGATTATTTTTTTCTATACTGATTAGAGGAAAAATAATGTTTAGTTAGTTCGAATCGGATTTGTTAGTTCAGACGAAAGTTTAACGATTTAATCCCAGAATTTAGGACAGCAGACGTTACGTAAGCAAAACACACGTCTGGCAGCCCTAGGTTAGATATAATGTCCGCGACAGCTGGGCGAAACAGGTGCGCATCATATCATATTATGGCATTCCCACCGATTGGACACTACTCCTGTACAATTATACTAATACCAACACGTCTGGCATGACACAATATCATTATAATTATGAACCAGACAAAATTTATATATTAGTAGGTATTTTGGTGTTGGTTTTACAGTCAAATAGTTTCATCACTATCGGTACATTCTGTTTTTATCTGGAATGGTACCTATTACTGTTCAATTATGAAATGATGTACCCGCTCCGATCAGGAAATAAACTGTTTACATACATATTTGTTATTACCTTCTTTATGGCAATTAATAACAATTTATTGTAAACAGTATAAACTTGATTCAGCTGTTTGTCGATCAGTTATTATTATTGTTACAAGAGGTAAAGCAAAATCTCTTTCAGCTTTATTACAGGAACAACTAACTTTGTTTATTTTCCGTTTTAATGTTTCCTGAAGTTATGATAAATCTTACTTAGTGTAAACAGATGTTTGATAAACATCCCAGTGCGCCGAATCAAGCGTAAAGTCAAAATAATCCGAGCATTTGTAAGTTGGAGCGGGGCGGCGTGCGTGACGGTGGGCGCCGGGGAGGGGTGCTGGGGTGAGGAGGTCGCCCGGAGGGGGGAGGAGGGGGAACAGCGGCCGCTGTAAGACGCGGCGTGAATGGCGGCGGCAAGGTCAGGGGCGTCGGAAGTGGGTTACGGGCGGCGCCCTATCGACCGCCCGCCGCCCGCCGCCCGCCCTGCCTGCCACCAGCCACCCGCCACGCCGCCTAATAACACCATACTGTTATTATGCTACTTTATAAACGATACTCGTAACTTTCCGCGTATTTATAAATTGTCGTAAAAATCTCAGAGTTGTTTGAGAATGTGTTTCCCATTTAATGTTGGAAACTACTCTATTAGCAAACAACTCGATTAACCTATGTAACGATTTAGGCGGAAATACTCCATTACTAGTGGTTATTAATTTGAAACATGCAATAAATAATGAAATGAAATCATAGATCAATGTCAAAGTAAGCTGAGCAGACAAACAGAAGTCGTGTCCGCGCTCTAATTGCGACTGTTTAAAAAAAAAGCAAATAAGCGGTTGTCAAATATTTTAACAAATAATAATTAGTTGAGCGTTACGGCGGCCATGTTGAGCGCGTGATGTAAGCGCTTCCGCCGAGAATCGTTCGCGAATTTGGCTCGCCATTCATACTCGGTTTTTACCGTGCGGCCGGCGAACTCGCGGCCTTGCTGCCTGCGCCTACGCCGATACGATCACAACCGACAGACAGCGCGCCACAAACTCACAAAATTAGAACGTTCTTATTTATACTAACATTTCATTATATTCAAACGATCAATGTATTTATGTATTTCAGACTTTAGACCAATTTAAAGGTCGCGGACGTACAAGATACGTTTGATTAATGACCGTTCACTCGCCCGTTTAAACAACATGTGAAAAACAAATCTTGTGATTTTAAGTCTGTTATAATGACTTGTATCGTTTCAACAACGTGACCTTAAATATTGTGTATAGCATCGGATAACATCGTGATAAACTGTTGTAATTAGTTACTTATTGCTGGATTTGTAAGCACCAATCTAGTTTTGATTTGTACGTTTTAGTTAAAAATAAAAATAGTTGAGTATTGTCGGGTAGCAAGAGTTAGGTTTCGGTGTTGCGCGTCGTGCCGGCAGAGCTAGCTAATTGACTTGAATTTTTAAAGCCTTAGTCACGACACTCCATCTCACATTGTTTTTGTGAGTCACACTCGCAAACAATGTATGCGATCTTCCTCTATCGCGAAATTCAACTTTGCACGAACATTTCTGAGCAACTTCACACTTTTAACAATTACGTAACAAAATTAACAATGTTTATAATTTTGCACACATTAGTATATACGTTGTGTTGTTGACTGATTCAGCCGGGAATGCGATATGAAGCCAAGACTTAATCTATTCATTATTTTTTCCATGAAACCTGATAAGGAAAAATGAAGTAGCCGATATTATCTATCTCTGCGTTGTTTCCTTATATTTATATTTCGTTGAGTGAATAATATTAGTTTTCGCCAAGCATGGGCGAATGACAAACTTCTCTTCAGGCTGCCTGAAACAGTTTTACACCAACAAGGTCACGAAAGGTTCGTGACTAAATCTAGAAAGCCTAGTCTAGATTCTTGTGTAATATTTCAATACCTATCGAGTTTCACGTCTTTTGAAGGAATTATGTAAGTTTTTTAAAAATTACGAAATGATAATATCTTCTCTCTTTAGTGTGTCTTAATAACTTTTTTGTCCAGATAGCCAGTGCTGTCTGAGCTATGTTTAAAAAGCTCGCTCCCATTTAACTTTTTTAAGTAGGTATGCGCGAAGGCACGTACTATGGTGTTCTCCGCTAACAAGTTTTTGTCAAGTTCAAGTATATCTATATGCACGCTCGTCATCCCCTACAGTGAGAGGTGTGCTAACTGGAAAAGAGCTTATTGTTTGCGCAGGTGCGTCGGCGCATTCTTTGTTCTTCAAATTATCGCCTGCAGCACTAACACGTACAGGAATGCTGACGACCCTCTCAGACCACATATTCATCAACTATTATTGTGGATGGATATTATATTAGCTGTTTCTTTTGAACCTAACAGTTTCCGCTTTTTTAAACGTATTCCATCGTTTATTAGAGTGAGCACTAAATTAGCTGTGCAATGTATACGAAAGGGATTTTCTATTCGAATTCGAACCTTTATCTTAATTTTTCAAATATTTATAGTAGGTACAACTATCGGTGGATTACATTAACATAGCGTATATTTAACGTTACGAAACAAATAGCAGTAGTGTAAAAATTCAAACAAAGTAGAAAAATATTTACTCGCGTACACGTGTTTCATGTTATAGTGATAAGTACCCAAACAGCCGAGAAACCGTTGTATCGGTTTGAGATAACCTTGCGCCAACGTATGGCTGCTCAAATTAGAAATAATTTATCTACACCCAGGTATTGGTACTTCGTTTTAATTAACTCACTTCAAACAGACCTAGTTAACTAATTATTTAAAATGTAACTACAAAACTGTTTTAGTTTCGATGCAATAAAAACTCTAATAATGTTAGCCTTCGTGGTTTTCTGCTAACAGATATGTTTAGACTAGTCTATGATTGTAGTCTGAACAAATACTGGAAGTTATTCACTTAGCAGCGCGCTGCTGCTGCTGTTCACACATCATCACCTCAGCTCATGGCTACATGTATACCTATAATCCAAATCAAAGCCTAAATGTAAATATGGTTTAAGATTAATTATTATTCCTTATAGTTTTTTCGTGTCTTTGATGTTATTTAAGTACATGACTGTAATAATATCTGAGACAGCTACAACAACATACAGCGTTTATGTATAGTAAGTTAGTATGTATCAACAATAATTAACGACGAGTGGAGTTTATTCCACGCCAGTCCAGTTGGAACAGCTCGCCCGGATAACGTATAGTGGCGACGATAAAGCAACAAAGATCGTTTTATGTGTATGGTTGACCGTACCCTAAAAATAGAACAAAAGCCGTGTTTATACGACAGACTACTCCACGTCATGTGGCGTGCACACTGAATTACTAACTTTTATGTACGTGAATAAAATCTATTTATAATGTTGACGTCGGCCGCTCCACATTCTTATCTTGTCGCGATACTAAACACTCGATCTAACGCAGATGCTGGACAACTACTCGCGGCTCGCGGAGACGGCCGCCTCTCGCCGTGATCTAGTTTGCTATTAATTACTGTTTTACAATAACAAATACGATTCTTATGATTTGTAGCAATTATATTATCACGCTTTATTACCGATATGTTTATGAGTTTATAATATAAGCGCTATCCATTAGTCCGTCACCGATTTCTGTGTTAACGTTAACGATTCAAACATAATTAATTTGTATGTTTATTTGATTTCAGCCCGTCCGATGATCTCAGCGAGTCTCCCCAGCGAGGCGCTGGCCCAGCTGGGGCAGCTCGGGCAGCTGAACCTGTACCCGCCGCCGCAGGCCGGCATGACGCCCGAGTTCCTGGCGCCCCCGCCGCGCCCGTACGCGCGGTACGCGCCTCGAAGGCCGCGGGATGCGATGCCCGCGCCCCCTGCACCTTCTGCATCACCATTCCCTTCTGTACCCGGAGCGTACGCACCGTTCCTACCGCACCCGGCGACGTACGCGTCGTACCTGTACCGGACGCGCGCGCCGCCACAGCCGCCGCCGTCCAACTACCCAATCAGGCCGCGCGCCACCTCTGGTTTCGTGCCACCTGCACCTGCGCCTCACTCTCCACCTGTATCGGCACCAGCGCCGGTACCACCACCCAGAGAGGTAATTAATCTACTTTCATTAAACAATCATATTGATATTAAGCAAGATAAAAAGCAAAGCTTAGAAGCTGCATGCAAAGCAGGTCTCCAGGACTTACAATAAATCTCAAATGACCTACCTTTTTTAATATATTTAAATTTAAATTATTAAACTCGGTATTGTATAAACTGAAACTAATTCAGTATTTTTATGATTTCAGGAACCTCCTACATCCCCCGAGCGAGGTGCGCCCGTGCCCTACTTCTGCCGAGGTGCGTTGATACGGCTGGAAGATGGGTCGCTACGGCGAGTGGAGGAGATGCGGACTGAAGATTTCGTGATGAGTGCAGACCGCAGTGGAGACCTCGCGCTCACGCAGTGCACGCTACTGCGGCTCGACGAGCGCGGCGACAGGCTCGCTCTCACTCTCACTTACGATAGGAATCGCTCTCAGGTCAGCAAGGTTTGTTGTTAATTAAATCTGCCTTTCTATACCATTTGTGCTGCTGTTTTATTTTATAAAAAATCACTTATCACTATCTAACATCTGCATTGTTAAATATATACCTATTTTTAGAAAAATGCAGAAATCATTAGAAAGTCTAAAAAACAAGATTCAATATAAAGCTGAAGAAAGCTAAAGCAAGTAAAACGCAAGGAGAAACATTAAATCAGTACAAAGCATTTAGCAATAGCGACAATTAAACTAAACGATTTAAAAATAATTACAGGTGGAGCTGGAATCCACGGTGGAGCATCCATTCTTCGTGTACGGCCGCGGCTGGGCGTCGTGCAAGCCGGAGCGCACGCTGGCGCAGTACGGGCTGCGCGTGCAGAGGCTGCAGGTGGGCGACGTGTGCGTGTCGCTGGTGCCGCGGCGTCATGCGCCCGCGTCCGCGCCTCTTACGCCACACACGCCCCACACGCCCCATACGCCACACACGCCTCACACGCCCCACACGCCTGCCCCGCCCCCAGCGCCCCCGCAGACGCATCCTGAAAACCTTAGCGTGAAGGAGGACGCACGCAAGCGGCGTTGGTCTGCTTCAGACGTCTGCGAGGATAATCCCCCTCCTCTCAAGAAACGCTGAAACGTGGCTGACCTTCGTATTCGTATTTGGAGGAGAACTGTCTTGATCGTGTTGTGATCGTTGCAATTCGCTACTCGTTTCTGACTCAGTTTCGTTGTTCTGTGTACCGAACCTGCTAAACATGGTAGTGGAACGTATGGACAAGTGCTACGGAGGACATCTTCCTCGTGAAGGAACGTTATAGATAGATAATGAACGGCCCCAGTGAGTTCGGTTGCATGCTCCGGCATGCACTATTGTTAAATATTAATTTGCGCGGTTTCTGCAGCGATCGGCAGTCCATAATAGTACGCTTATGAAATTCTATTGGGGAACTCTAGGTGCTTTTTACTGTCGGGTGCTTCTGTACGCGTTCGTGTACGATGTTGTAAATATGTATGTAACTTAGGTCGAAGTTAAACGTTACGCTCCATGACTAACCTAACGTGTCACAAAAGGAAGAGGTCTGGCGACGCCGAGCGTTCACCCACTCCTCGTTCCTCTATGGTACACGAAGATATATTACAATATACGGCATACAAAGTAAAACGCTTTAGACATACTTACACGAGAACCTTTAAACAATATTATATTTTAATTTTATATTCCACAACCATGGAGATAAAACATTTTTAAATAATGAGCACAAAAATAACAAAGTGTAAGTTTGTACCAGATCTTAAAGTAGGTTAGATATTGTGATAACCAATGAGATTTTATCGCCAGTCTGCGTGGACACGTGGCAATGCATATAGAAACAAAACAAAAGGTACAATGAATGTTAGATTGTAGGTAGTAGAGTAATGGGCTGACGTGTGCTTAAATCTCGACTGATTTCTTTCTACGAGTATTCTGAATGATTATGTTTGTAACGGACGCAGTCATCCAGAGTTCCATTCTCCTCCGATGGTTGTGACTGCAGACATATCCATGACGATGTAATTGTCGTTTCGTGCCGGTGTCGCGCCGGACGACCCGTTCGCTGAGCTGTACCGGCAAACCCTTCTGACAAATAATTTGATCTAATATAAATGTTGATAATTGATAGGTATATATTGTAAAATAAAATGAAATATGTATAATGATCATGGTATATATAGATGTCATCTCTATTGCTTTTTGACGTCCATGTGTGATACACATAACTTTTCTATGAGAAGATGTATACATAATAAACACACAGTCTGTGATATTTTGTAGTTATTGGTCAGAGTAGGTATGAAGTATTGCTTGAATAAAAGAAATATATGTTTTAGACAAATAAGTGCGTTATTGGTAAGAAAATGTATAGTTGTTGTATACTCAAAAATAAAACGCTGAAAAACTAAAACAAAACAAACTTAACATAGTGTCTGTGATGAAACGATGATACATATAATATAACGTTATGGAACATAACGACAAACGCATGGCCATATCAAAATCAAATTAATTTAATATAAATCTTAAGTGAAAATACACAAGTTTCGTATTTGCTTAAATATAAATTGAAATCCATAAATATGTTGTTTGCATAATAAGTTTATCTCGAACAATTACGTTGTCAGATGTAACGAGTCATGGATGTTCTACCGCAGTTGGCGGATAGAGTGCGCAGGCGCAGACTGACAGGTGACACAGGGATACGGACAGTTAGATTTGCAAAGGGTTGCTTTCATTGTACCGCAAATGCTACGTGCTTTTAATCATATTGTGTTAAACGATAACCGCGACCATAGAATACGGACACCTCATGACGACGGATGGTGTTGTACAAAAGTTAATAATTTGTTGTATAATGTATGTAATTCTAGTTTTATCGTCTTTATATTAATATTTGTAATTGTAATGAAAGATCTCATTTTATTAATCGGTATTTTCTAACAAGGCGCTTTCATTAGATCATGACTAAGCCTACCTCACAAACTATAAGACTAGTGTCTCGCGGCGGCGACGTCCGCGTGGCGTGCGCGTGCGCCGGTGACGTCACGCGCGAGCGAGTGGTCGCTATCAAGTCTAAACAAGATCTCAATTTGATGAAAATAAACTTTTGAAAAGACTGGGACGCTTTACTGAATGTTGTGGGATAGTAGTTTCTTTGAAGATATTACTTAAATTATGAGATAGGAGCATTTATTTGTGGGCGCGAGCTCGTTCCGTCGTTTAACTATGAAGCTCCGCTATCAACGCTGGACAATCATTTAGTACAAAATTTGTTACAAAAAGTATTATTTCCCAAAATCCAAATTCAGAAAGTATTAATTTAATTTCAAAAAGGTGCTATATTATTTTTGTGGACGTAATTCAGGCACAATCATGATTGATATTATAGAGAAAATTTTGTTAAGGGACACTTTGTTGTAATATTGCCAATCCATTGTATAACATTGGCACAATCGATGTTCTTCCGCGCCTCCTAGTAGATTTAGTGAGTCAATTATACGTTAAAATATCGTTACTGTGTAGGTACATATTCAGTCAGCACTTGTTACTTGATTATATGCTACATTATAAGTGTATAATATTTACCATCTATTATGTGCATCGATGTTTGTTGTATAATGTATTAATTAGACAATATGCAAATGTTATTTGCAATGCGTTGGATTCCGTCAGAGATATTCGTTATACGTAAACCAGAGGCTGACATTTCTAGAAGGAATTATTGTTTACAACGAGTTAACGGACAGCTTTATCTATTCCAATACAATGCCTTCCAATGAGAGTTTATTTTTACAAATCGAAGTGATTTAATGACTCGCGAGTAATCGAGAATGTTATCGATTGCGATCGCTATAACATCAACATCGATTAAGTCATAGAATATGCCCAAAGACTGACATCAAGTATATTACTGCTGACTCCGTTGTAAGCGATAGTTGCTTTTGCTATGCCAATTTCTTCTGTTTACATACTTTTATAAATGTCTAGATATCACCCTCTGTTTCTTCCAAGACTTTACTACAAATGTTATTGTGCGAGTCGCGATTCTATTGTGATTGATATTTAGATGTTACAAGTATAGTGACAATAGATAATAATGTATGAAGAGAGATTCATATTGTTACGTTGATGTTGCCAGCCGGCAAGGCCAGTAATGGTTCACATAGTCCGTATGTTAGTTGACTGTGCCTCACTAACGAAGCATTACTTGACACAAATGATTGTGCCATCCTTAACAGATTTTCAAATATTTTAGTATTCCACTGTTATTGCTTAGTTGGAGTTGTCCAAACATTTGAATGATACCCATATATTGTATAACATTAGTACCGTGGAAAGTTACATCGGATACATTGCCTAGGCAATTTCCAGAACCAAATTTGTACCGAGCATTGTACTTTCCAAGGTAATAGCGTATTGTAGAGAACAGGAAATGTTGTGTCATTTAAATTAATAGATAAATAACTATAAAATTGTTATTATATGACAGATATCGCAAAAATATATATATGTATATTTTATTGTATAGCGGAATGACTACTATTCAGATTTATTGTAAATGGAAAATGTTATAGATCGAAATATGTTAAATAAGTTAACTGTTTGTAAAAAGAAGAGAAAATATGTATAATTGAATATTTGCTATACGTTTGTTTTATTTCATTCACCTCGTTGAGAAAGATTTCAAATTCATAACTACAATTAAATTGACCAACTTGTACTGCACCGATCAACAAACAAGCCAAACGGCTTAAAATTGAGCTTAAATACTTCACATTTTTTTTCAAATTAATATAAAATTATATTGAAACATGGTTTATTTACCAGTACCTACTCGTGCAATTAGGAATAAGATAAAGAATGCAATATAATTAACTTCTCTTTTTAATATCAACTTTTAAAATTATATTTTTTTTACATACTAACTACCAACCGCTACATTTCTAACTACATAAGGTATACAGATTGTCTTGTGTTCATAAACCTCCAGTTATATGTACAAAATGTTCATGGTATAGTGGTATGGTTTTATCAGAAGTAACACCCACTTTCACTATTTATGTTATGAGTCCCATGTAATAGGGGGTAAACCTATTGACATATACTAGCCACAATTCCAGACACCGTTCTACAACTGAGATTTTTTTAAAACCAAATAGTACTTTGCCGACCCGGGTATCAAACCCGAGACCTCTTGCCCGGCAGTCGAACTTGCGACCACTCGGCCAACGAGGCAGGCAGGCATGTAAAAATATGCATTGTGAAAAATGATATTATTTCAGATCTAACAGTCTCCTTCAACTTTCCAATGTGAAGGGATTTCATATTTTATTAAAATAAAAGAACAGTGGCCAGCCAGTCATGCCATTTCAATCTATCAATTAATCTGATTTTCGACTTTATTTGATACACTGTGAACCATAAAGTTGAGAATCAAATAAATTAGTGTCAGATTTTAGCAATAAAATTTGCAACATCGATATTGAACGATTACTACTAATAAGATAAAGATACTAATCAACACTAAAAATACAACTTAAATTCTACTTCTACAGTTCTACAAATCTACACCCGTTCAACTTAGACTACAAATGAAATTACAAAGATATACTTATAAATTTTATTGAAAGCAATTATAAATAATCACAAATTGTAATACATACTATAGTTTATATTGAAAGGAGCTACCGTTGAGATTGTTCATATGTCGGAGTTGAGATCCAGCTTCACTTTCTCGCCGGGTTTGAAGGCAGGCATGCCCAGGTACGGGCACGTCGCACAGCGGAACGCGTCGCCGAGGTAACACTGGAACAATATGTATGTTTTAAAATAACATTTCTTTGTAGATTCTTCAGATATACAATTATCACGGCAACTGCGCAGGTGGCATGTTTTGATTCAATAGAAGATTCAATCTCAAACCTATGCAATTAATCAAAGAGGTGATCATAATGGATTTGCAGTATTACTGGTAATATAGAAGAATAAACTGAAGTGAAAATATTTTTGAAAAAGATGGAGAAACAAACAGCTTTTTAAATAAGGTCTACAAATAAAACTAACAGGATTTTCCAAGGGCCTCATTTCTTATTTCGTATGGACAATTTATGTGTCAGCTAAGTGAACAAAAATGTACATTGTAAAATAGGCCCAAAGAATAAACTAACAACAACAACTTTTTTTCAGATGCAATCTTCACAAAATTTTGTAACTTCACTTCACTAACACCAATGATTGTTTCATTGGTGTTAGTCTGAATCTAAAATAGACTTTATAAACCTACATAGACTTTAAAGACTGCATCATCGTATCCTTTACAAGCAAAATGAGGTTTTAAAATATCACTAACTAGCGACCCGCTCCGGCTTCGCGCGGGTGCGATATGCATGTATTATACATATAAACCTTCCTGAAGAATCACTCTATCTATTAAAAAACCGCATCAAAATCCGTTGCGTATTTTCAAAGATCTAAGCATACTTAGGGACGGACAGACGGCAGATAGCGTCTTTATTTTATACTATTTAGTGATTATGCAACTGAAAAAGACTGTTAATGCCTCAGTGGGTCGCAATCAATAATAACTATTTATATAATCATATTACACAATGCACATATATCTAAAACAAGTATTACACACAATTAGTACAGTACATTACTCTGTTAGGACCCAGCGATTTACCGTAAATAAAACGAAGGAAAAACAACTCAATATCTTTGCATATCGTAAGCAGATTACAGGTGAACGGTGACTTTTATTTTTATTTGTATGTAATGCATTCAATATGTCGTCATTATTTAAAATATCTACGTCATCTAGACGGACAGATTTTTATTCGTGTCTATATTATGACCTTACTTTTAAAAGACAACAGAAATGTGAAAGTTTCTTAGTTTGGATGTTTATTCGTCAATCACGCTGAAACTACTGAATGGAATTTGATGAAATTTGGTATACAGACAGGGAATGGGCTGACTTAGGTGATAGGATGACTTTTTATCCCGGTTAAATGCTCCCGTGGGATAAAAGAGGAATCATATTCTACGCGGACGAAGTCGCGGGCAACAGCTAGACATATTTTAAAGTTGAAAGGTTTGTTTGGACGCACTAATCTCCGGAACAACTGGTTCAAATTTAATAATTCTGTATGTGTTAGATAGTCCATTTACCGAGGAAGGCTATGAAACATCACGCTACGATCAACAGGATCGGGTGTAAACGTTGCTTATCATTGTCTATCAGAAATGATGATCATCAAACCAAGTTATTGATTTCGACATTCAAGTGATATTTTCACAACTTCACTATATGACTCAGAAACAAACTAGACACGCCTGCTTCTAACCACGTAGTCATTCATATTTGAAAATTGTCCTGTAAACGCCTGCGATTTTGAATAGATTTCCAACCTTATGGTTCCGTAAAACAGTCAAGTATTACTTATTGCATTGCGAGTACATTGGTGTGCTAGTGTCTGTGCCAATTTTAATAGAAACTACACGAATTAGAGAAGATACTGTTAACTAGATTGCAGAAACAATGAATTTAAATAGGTTAAAAGTTTTGGTCATTTTTCAATGACGTCTATTTTGAGAAGAATAAGGCAGTAATGTACTACGATGTGCGTACCTAATCTGTTTTTGAAACCACATAAATGTACACTTGGAAGCAAAGAAATGGAGCCACTAGAATTTTTCTTTTTTATTTCTTGATAATATTTTCTGATACACGTATTTCATTAATTGGTAACTTATTGCCTGAATACTGAATAGTTCTATTATCACAAAGAATTTGTGGTAATAGAACTATACTTAAGCGCATGTTTCAGTATTCGGGTATAAATTGCCTTTTAAACGACATATTTCGGAATACTCAAACGCTACTCAATTTTAAGTCGTGCTTAAATATCGTGCCATCTCTGTCATTTTACAAAGAATTTGTGGAGACAGAACTATACTTAAGCGCGACTTAAAATTGAGTAGCGTTTGAGTATTCCGAAATATGTCGTTTAAAAGGCAATTTATACCCGAATACTGAAACACGCGCTTAAGTATAGTTCTATTACCACAAATTCTTTGTAAAATGACAAAGACGGCACGATATTTAATTACAACTAAAAATTGAGTAGCCTTTGAGTATTCGGGTGTTAGAGCATTTTTTTTATAAAAGGAATATTTTTTTTAAGTTATAGAGGGTTCCATAAAATAAAAAAAAAACGCTTGTGGCTCGGCTCGTATTTTTCTTTGCTCCTGAGTGTATTTACTGAATAGAAAATTGGATCAATGGAGCAGTCAGCACGCAGTATGAGTACCTAAATAAACAATGCCTTTTAAGCAATCAAACAATGGATTTTACGTTACGTATTTTTGTAATAATAAAAATAAATGATGCCATATATTTAGGTTATAAGCAGCACAACTATTAATTGTTAATTCGTTTTAAACAACAATAGGTGAATGCGATCTACGGATTAGTTATTAACGGTTCATTGAATTTTGCTAGAAGATTTTAACCGATTTAAGTTATTACTTAATCTGACAGTCATGCGTTTGAGTTGACATTCGATATTAATGCTAATTAGCCACAGGTAAATAATGATGTGGTGTTTTTCTTACGATTTTCTACGGATTTTCCTTATATTTTAGATTTTTGTAAACTCTCAACTGGTTTAGAATAGAATTTACAAAGATATATCGTTCCTGGTACATTCTACCATTTATTACATTACATTTTAAAATGCTTAAAGCTATAAACATAATAATTTGTATTACGATAGGTGACTGCACAATCATGCCCTCTATGGACGTAAGTCACTAATTAGAAGATTTTGTACAATGATCATTAAGTAAGCTACTGAACTCTAAAGTACCTAAGTACAGTTCAGTAGATGAGTAAAAACTATAATTTAGGGGCTCTAGAGAAGAACCGAGAAGGTAAACATGGTACAATTTTGTACAAGATCAAATGTTTGATTAAATTCAATTAGGGAAGATAAAATTTTATGACTGCTTCGTTGGCCGAGTGGTCGCAAGTACGACTGCCGGGCAAAGCATTACTGGGTTATTTCATAATGTCAGTAGTAGTAGTTTCAAATTGTCAGTAGTAGTGCGGAGTCTGGAATTGTGCCCGGTATATGGCAATAGGCACACTATTACATGGGACTCATAACATAAATAGTGAATAGTGGGTGTTACATTGTACAGTGGCACTGAGTGCCGTATTGTGCAGCTCTGCCTACCACTTCGGGGATAAAAAGGTGTTATAAACATTATGTGATAGGGACGGAACTCACTTCTCAATCTAAACCAGCATACATATGCATATATATACATATATACATGATCAGCAATAATATTTTAACTATGTAAATATACTTACGCTTCCACAAGAAGATTTCGGTGTATCCTTGACTTCTCCTTTGAGCTCCTCAGCCAGACCACACGAACAATCAGCACACGCTTTCCGCTTGCCGGTCGTTGCGCAAACTGTAAACGATTTTATGTTTTATGATTAGCCACATACAGTGTATTTTTGCGTATTTATTTTTTAAGGTGGAATTGGCTTATTGTTTTCTTTTTATTAGAACGTTTCTAAAGGTGCATGCATACTCGTACTAATGGCTGTTGTTGATGGTTATAAGTCTTGTAAAAAGCATAGCCAGATATAAATTATTAAATTATTTAAAGAGATTATAAGTCAAGTGTATTTTCCCATCATATCTTCACTCTTTCTCCTATCCCTTACACATACTTCATTGGAAGTATTGTTTCAAAACAATAAATACTGCACCAAAAGATAAATAAAACAATATAGTCAATGACATCTAGATGTCCTTATTTAATTAGTTACAACAAGTATGTATATCTGTGAGTGTCATTTACGTCCATTCTATCACATCACACGTAATAAACAACTCTATACATATAAAAATAAAACTTGTACTACAACTAATGCCATTGACCTTGCGTGAATGGGCCGCGTCATTGGGAATAGTCGCAACACAAAACCTCAACAGCATCATTCTAAGTCAGGCGAATACGGGCTCGGAACACAAAACCTCAATTGTTGTTTTTATCTAGATAACGAGCAATGTGGGCAACAACAGATAAGTGTTTCCTTATCATGCAACTTATTATTTTATTATGTTCATGTGGTACATAATATAGTTTTCATACAAATATATTTGTATGAAAACTGTATTTTGTCTAGTCATTCAATGGAACTATGAATTGTTTATATCTATTGTTTCACTGTTTACATGAAATAGACATGTTTGATGTAGCTAAGAATGTTCTAGCTAACTGAAATTTAAAACATTAAATTTTAAACCAAACAAGCTAATTCTTAAATATTTATAAACCTTACAAAACTGTTAAATTTGATAGAACATAATGAATAATTTAAAAGAAATGTGAGAAAAATCAATATTTATGATGAGCGCTTGCACCAGGATTTACTATTAATAGAACAATAATACTAGATAATTATTATAACAAAAAAAAAAAACATAAAACATAGCAAATAAAAGTTAATTTGAAAGCTTTAACAATAAACAAGTTTCTGGAAAAAAGCAAAATATGGTAAATAAAATTTAGAGTAAGTTAACGTACCTCTTAAGGACTGCTGGTCTGGTTTCTTCAGATCATCTTCATCTAACAGCTCACTGTCATCAATGAGGTCATCATCGTTACCACCGGTCCAAGCTTCTTCAACCGTGTCGTCTATTTTCCATACAGCGGGCTTTCCATTTAGTTTCAAAGAGGCTTTGGAACCAACCTGGAAAATGCGGCAACAAATAGTAATTAGACTAATGAAAATAATGATTTTTGAAGACTTTTTGTCTGTTTTGTAATAATTATGGTTTTTATTTTATTTATTTTAACACTTCATGTACAAATGTGTATACAATGGCAGGCTTAATGCCGGATGGCATTCTCTACCAGCCAACCATAACACCATAACCATAGTTTCTCAGGTTAACACATAGAACTAGTTACTTTCCAACAATGTTTTTGCAATTTTAATCCATGTCCATCACTTAATTCACGTCTATGCGCAATGAGCATCATTAAGCTACTGTCGTTATAAATCGTTTCAGATTGACAATTGAACTTCCGGTTGTGTATATTGACAATTGTCTTTATTTATCATATCATATGTTTTGTACAGCTATACACACAATAGTAAGTGATTAAACACAAACATGATATTGTCACATGTGCAAGAGGGCAGAATATAAAAAAACATAGGGTGTAAAAGGAATGCTCTTTAAACACTGACAAAAAGAAATTGTTCTTACAATATTTATCATTTTTGTTTTTATGTTATTCATGCAACATCAGCCTTGAACAGCTGATTACAACTATTATTACATTAAAGAAACATTTAATTCTTTACTTTTACGAAAATAATACTTGTTTTTGACCATCACCTGTCGGCGTTTTTCATGAGGGTTCTGTTTATAATCTGTATTATTAAACCAAATAAAAACTTACCTCAAATTTAGGTTTCTCAGCTAAATATAAATTGTCTGAAGACTTTGTGACATTAATGAATCCATTTAACTTAAGGGTACTGGTCAAATCTGTTGTATCTTTGAGAATTAATTTACCACTGGGCTTGAGGAGTTTCACGATTATGGCTAAGATATTGTCAGTGTGTTTCACTGTGTGTGGGGACAACCAGTTTGATATCACAGCCTCATATGAAGACGAAGGTCTGGAAGCTGCGGAAAAATTAAATAGGTCAATCAGTTAAGTCTATGAAGGTCAGCAAAAATTGTTTATTATGTTTGCTTCAAATATAGTTCCTCTTATGAAATAATAAAAGTTAGAAACTAATGTTGATGGTACCTACCTACCTTCTTATACATAATGCAAATGCAACATACAAACTGATATTCGGAAACACTAAAGTAAATTGCTAACTTAGCAAGTGAAATAAAAAATCAACAAGTTAAATAAAAATATGTATGTAAATGTGATACTCACATTCTGTTATCATTTCAGAGTTTTCGAGGGCAACTGATCCATTTCCAATGATCGATTTTATTTCTTCCACCAAATTACTGATGCTGCTTTGGTTGTCGTTATTCCAAATAATTAGTACGTTATCACCAGACTTCACGTTTTCCATTGTTGTAATAATTTACAGTGCGAAGTTTGGTTAAGAATAAAATATATAATTCGATCTATATAAAAAAACTGGTAAAACTAATTAAGTTAGCAAAAAAGTATGTCAGAAGAAATAACACTTTTGAAACAACGTTCCGAAATACGATAGTAACGCTTCACAGTCTTGGGAATACTGAATTATGTTTCGGCTGATCTCAATGAATAATCCTTTAACAAATAAACGCGGTCTTAAATAGCCAATGTGGAAAGGTAAAATATCACCGAAACAACTCAGTCAACCTGCGTGATATGACATCATTGACAATGACAGTTAGATAACACAGATAAAATACTGGTACTTCAATCCGTTCATGCAATTTAACAAAGCGTTTATAGAAAACGATATATGAAATAATCGTTGGATGAATAAAAATAATGGTAACATCACAAAGTTACTGCTTCATTTCAGGATTAAATACAGTTCTTTAAATGATGTCAACAATTATATAATCAAAATCTTCAGATAATTTTAAGATTAATTATCTTACTTTCTTCGTAAAACTAAGCGTAATAATTTTTATGAATAAAATCGATTCCTTATTCATAACCTAAATGTCGTCAATTGTTTTGCTAGATGTTTTTACACTAAAATCATGTTTTATGAAGCATTTTTAGCCGGCATATGGGCTTCAGTCGGTAGTACTTTCGGAAAACTATCAGGAACCGCCAGTATTGTAGTAAGTTTGTTTATTTATTTCAAATTTTTCTATTTAGTGTCATTTGTGATAACATTACATTTCACGATAAGGACAGGTAGACATATCTTACGTACTCTTATTCACGTATTTTTATTACTTTCATGACAAAATATCGAAGGTACTGTGTTAATTGTAGTATTTTGTTTATTGCGTACTCGTGAAGTTACTCTACAGGTATATAATACCTACGTATACCAGATTCATGTGATTCAGTGGAACGGAAACATTGTCTTGGCGAGTCAACAAATAGTTTTCGTACCAATTTCGAACACTAGATGGCGCTACGACAAAATTAAAAGTTAGAATTTTGTCTCAAAATGCTCAATTCTTTATTACCTAGTTGTTTGATAAAAACCTATTTTTCAATAACTATTGCATTCTGTTAGGTTATCATTCAATTACTTATTTACATTTTGAACTTACGGGTTTATCTCCTTGCTCTTTTTAGTGGAGTGGTGCAAAAATTGCCGAGAATGGGTTTACTGCTATCGAAGATCTGGAGCTTGTTCGGTAATGAGGAGCACAAACTACTCCTAGTGGGTTTGGATAACGCCGGCAAAACGACGATCCTATACCAATTGTTATTAGGTGAGACTGTTCATACCAGACCAACCATTGGCTCGAATGTAGAAGAGTTTGTGTGGAAGAATCTGCGATTTGTCATGTGGGACCTGGGTGGTCAACAAAGTCTCAGATCAGCGTGGAACACTTATTTTACGAACAGTGAATTCGTGATAATGGTAGTGGACTCGACGGATCGCCAGCGATTGAGTTTGTGTCGTGATGAGCTCCATCAGATGCTGAAACACGAGGAGCTTACCAAGGCTTGTCTACTAGTTTATGCGAATAAACAGGACGTGAAGGGATCGATGACCGCAGCAGAGATATCTGAGCAATTGGAATTGACTTCGATTAAACAACACCCGTGGCACATACAGGCGTGTTGCGGACTTACTGGGGAAGGACTACATTTAGGTTTAGAATGGATTGCTAGTAGAATTAAGAAAAAATGACACGGTACCGCATTAATGCTCCAAATGTAATTTATTAATTTTATAGGTGGATACTGTTGTTAAGGATTATTCGCGCAGGTGAGATTCTTTCATGAAATAGTGCTTCCTGGATTTAATGAAAGTTCTAATGAAGAACAAGCTTAAGATTTTTTAAGAGACTCGACCAGCGCAGTTCGTATATCGTATTCGTAGTTCTCTTAGTATTTTTTTTATTCCTTTTTAAGGAATTTGTGTCTAACTACGATGACAATAAAAATCGTAATCGAAAACTTCGGTGCCGAACTTATTGGAACTTCAAAAGGTAATCTCATCTGCGTGAAATAGCCTTTTAAATCCCTTATAATTTGAAGTAATAATTCATTACGTTTGCGGAAATATTGCTAAATAAAGTATATTATATAAATGTATCAGATTCTACGTCCGTTGTTTTGCATTTATTGCCTATTGTAATAAACGTTTTTAAGAGTACCTATACTATAAGATGTTTTATTTTACTCCGAAACATTAACACATGCTACACACCACCTAATGAATACACACACTATCACACTATAGAGCAAATTGATAACTGATGCAGCACGCAGGTTTTATGTAAATGTCAGAGAAGTCTTATATTTACTATGCATGGCCTACAATAAACTCGTAGTTAAAAGGCTCACCCCCTATTACAGTGCATGGGACTTATAACATAAATAGTGACGAGTGGGTGTTACATTGTACAGTGGCATAATGTACACCTCTGCCTACCCCTTCGGGGATAAAAGGCGTGATGTTATGTTATGTTAAAAGGAAATCAAAAAGTAAATAATTCTGTTGATCTATTTCCAACTAGGCTAGCGTCAGCCAATCGGTTTATTCGATTGAATGTCGATGTTTTACGTAAGTAAAGCTATTGTCATATCCTCCAAAGCTCGCTAAGGGTAAAAAGGGCCAATACTTCAGTAGTCAGTTTTAATTTTATACAGCCTAATGTCACTTTTATATAACAGCCCTACTGTCTACAACTAGCGATATCATAAAATAAAAGACCATGAGAATTTCTATTGATTATACAATTCAAACGCACTCACTTTACCTACTTTTAGATAAATTAATAATTAATATATTCTACTGCGAAAGAACAAGTCACACAATACAACATCATTATGGCTTGATCAATATAGGAATGGCTCGATTAATATTCCACAAGCGTTGGTATGTAACTAATGATTCGTAAATTCATCAGTGGCTTTGACACTCGTGAATAAGTTTCGTGGGTTCATATTTGATACATTTTAGTAGACATTTTCATAATATTTGTGGTTAGGAATTTAATGCGAATGTCCTCATTATCATAATTATTAACAGGAAAACGTCCACTAACAAAGGGCTCTTTCCCCTGAAAATCATTTCTTACTAAACATTTCCATTAAATCCACGTATATCAATGCATGAGCATTTGGATATTATCTATCTAACCAACGGTATCAGGCCAAATTTCTTATAGACCTAAAGAAAAAGATCACCACTCCATACAATCAGATAAATGGGGCTTTTCAAATTCCAAGAGTAAGAAAATTACCAACCAAATGAATATGTCTAAACTCACAAAAAATATTTTCAAGAAAACACACGATTATTTATCTCCATTTTCTCCATACCAACAGGGTGATAGTTATATCATATGGGGGGCGTTACTGGTGACTATGGTGCTGGCCAACACGTGGGGCTGCCGACATTATCTCCGCTCACTTGACGCCGCCACCAACTCCGCAGCACCCACCGTCATATCTGCCGGCTCCAGTTATGTGCTATCGGTAAGTTTATATTTATTAAGTCATAATTTTTATAAAAAAGATATCATAAATTGTGACCTAATGAAAATTATTAAATAACTAGATATGCTCATACCTTTAAATATTACGATGTACCCAGTCAATCGTTTAGTTTAGTGAAATAGTAGGTATACAGGATAGGATAGGTACTAAGTCGAAGGCTGGTTTCCATTTTGTAAATAACATCATGCATGCTCTTCAATGTTCATTGGAGCGTTAATACTGTCTGTACAAAAATTGGGTTAGAATTTTTTATCCCTTTTCGCATACTTAATCGTAATCAATAACATTGTAGGCACCCAAGTCAGTATCTATTAATTCTATAAAAAGAGAAATTTTCAGAAATTACCAAAAAAAGAGAAAAATTTGTACCTACCTCCTTCGTTTATACCTACTTATAAGTTATAATCTATACTATACTGGCCATGTGATGTCAAAAAAGATAAGAATGCCATTAAGTTTACTTTTTTATTTATTTACTTTTTTCAACAAATGGCCTGTTGATATATTTTTCATCCAAAGATGGACAGTATTTTATTTAGTTTGTTTAATTTTATGACCAAGAAGGTTTTGTGTAGGTCATATATTTCTGTACAAGTCTTAAATTTTCTTTTACGTGTCATTCTTTTTGCAGCACATAACAATTTTTCTTTTAAAATAAAAAAAAAACAGTCTAATTATTATACTAGGTTAGCCCATAGCTTATTGCACGATGTCTAGATACCAAATTTCATTCGATTCGGTCCAGTACTTTTCACAAAAGAATGGTATTGTGTCAAAAATATAAATATCGGATTAGTTTTGAAAAAAAAATTACTGTCTTTCACTCACTAACGGGTAACCGGGGCTCCGGCTCGACGTGCAGGAGAAGGAACGGGGTGATTTTTTAGACAGTAAGAGCCTGACACTCCCTCCCGCCTCACCCAGGCGGGAGCAGTGATACGATGACTTTCCCTCCTTAAAAAAATATGCTCTCAAACTGAAAAAGTCTTTGGACCACTGTAAACGGGCCACTCTGTATTAACTTTGAATAGTAACTTTTTATTCTGATCATGGGTTTTTGTCATATTATAACAGACTGGCACTAGTTAAATAAACATTGTGGAAAAAAGAGTATTTTAACGTACTATATTAGTTTTATAGATTATAGAGTACGCCTACATGACATAGAGGACAAAACTCTATTTAAGAGTACGGTTGGCAACCCTACTACTACCATACATTAGGCACGTTCCCAAATAGATTTATAGTTTTTTTTTTCAGGGTGTGATAGGTATAACGCTGTTTGAAGAAGCTTCGTCCATGACATGGTGGGCTGGCGCAATGTTGATCGTATTCGGACTGGCCTTGGTTGCTCAGCCGAGGACGAAGAAAAAAGAACAATGAGATATAAAGTATACGGGTACATTCAGTGATACGTATTAATTATTGATAGTCTATTTTTAAATATCCTGTGGTCGCCCATTCGTCTGATGAAACTAGTGAGTTACATTGATATTATATTCTTTATATATCTACGAAATACACTTGGGAGCAATGAACCTTTTATAACTTTTATAAAACTTATTTGAATTTTAACAGAACCTCCTCAATTTTAAAGGCAATTAAATTGTTTTTCATACAGAAACGTAACTAAAATACTTCTAATAGGAAATATTTATCGAGAAATGAAAACGTCACTAGTGGCTCTTTTTCTTTGCTCCTAAGTGTGTGTAGTGATTGGCGTGAAAGTTTCAATGCACTCGATTGATGCGAAAGGGTACAAACCCAGGTTCCCTAGCAACCTAACTATGTACCTTAAATGGGGTGGATAGGGATCGAGAGGTGAATAGATACAGAAGAGGGGGAATCGATATTGAGAATTTTTTTATAGTATTTAGTTCACCCCTCTTTTGTCCCTATTCACATCTCGATTCCTATTCACCACATTTTACCGTTATGTAGATATTAAGTTTCTCCTTTACTAATTTTAAATTTTACTACCCAATACGATGACAACAAGTACAATTATTAAATAAGCCTTTGACCTAATAATGCTTCAGCATCCTTACGTTGCTTAGGTAGAAGTAGGCTCTTCTGTAACCGAAATAATCCAAAAGATCGAAGTGAACTCGATCGACTTGATTATTTTAGAATAATAACATAACACATAACATCACGCCTTTTTTCCCCGAAGGGGTAGGCAGAGGTGTACATTATGCTACTGTACAATGTAACACCCACTTTTCACTATTTATGTTATGAGTCCAATGTAATAGGGGGTGAGCCTATTGCCATATACCGGGCACAATTCCAGACTCCGTGCTACTACTGAGAATTTGTAAAAACTCAGTAGTACTTTGCCCGAACCGGGAATCGAACCCGAGACCCCTTGCCCGGCAGTCGTACTTGCGACCATTTGGCCAATATTTGAGAATAATCTCCACAAATGACGGGCCGAGGATGCGATCGAGCTCACTTCGAAAGTTTGAATTGACAGTTACAGAATAGTCTAGTTGATCGCATCTTCAAGATTGTATAAATGTAAACTTGCTCCTATTTGTTCTGTCTTTAGGCTAAGCTTTTGTACAATAGTGTGATCGTTTAGCACTCCCTCGAGAACGCTGAGTGACCGTGTAGCAAGCTTGTTGTTTTAAGAAAATTTTAAAAGGTTCTAAAGTACCTGGATGTTACGTAGTAGTGTATTTTGCATGTTCAGATTAGTTTTTTACTATGTCGTTAATGTAAAGTTACTACAGGATAGGGTTAATTAATTAAGCTTCTAAGAGCCGATTTATCCAACGCCAGATATTTTTTAACTGAGGAATAACTTTGAATATTTGATAATTCTTCCATACTAGAAACTGTTAAATGTCAATTTTATTCTATTGTTAACTGATGATTGAAAAATCGGCCCTAAGGCCAAATTGTCAAATATTTAAAGTACTATTATGACGTCTTTACCATTCACGGGACCACAGGGTCCCGGTCATTTGGGAGGCGTACGAGGGCCCGAAGCCAACTGCGCAGAGGCCCTTTAGACAACTTTAATCTAAATGTAATGGACACACAAACCGGCGACTATCCCTGTATGCACTATGGAAATGCACCCAAGGACAGTCCCCGGTTCCCTCCGGTCCCTGCTCTCGCGACTCCACTCTGGACGGCCAATGAAGGCAAGCCAGAGGTGGGAGACCTGCTATTATTACTATTACTATTATTCCTCTAATAAAATTGAACTAGCTTTGATAAATTTTATCAGAGGAATTATTAACTCATTATATAGTTAAGAATTATCTGTTAGTTGACAAATCGACCCTAATCTACAAAGCACAAATTAAAGTACATAGCTACGTAGTAACTTTATTGTGGTGTCAATCTTTATGTTAAAGACAAGTACGAGGAAAATTGAATTTCTCTATGTGGGACCTTATTGGTCATGTATAAAAAGAAAACCTTCGTAAAATAAATATTATGTAACATGACGTTACCAAAACTCTGTTTCTAGTGGCAAGCAGTGTATGTCTGTGTTCGGATAAACGTTGGCGCCATTATTTTACATAACTTTGTACCTTATTACCTAGCTGTTAGATGCAATAATTATTTACAATTTCACAGTATTAAATACATTTATTTATAGTATAATAGTGGTTTTAATTTTTAACTTCTCCGTTATCTTGGTTTCTTACATCGCATTTGATTTCCGAAGCAGTGCATATATTGCACTGATGAAGACATCATACTTCGAATATGTTTATACCTACTGTTATTTATTTTATCCTGGCCTTATATCTAGTTTGAAATGAAATGGCCTGATCACTCATTAAAAGACGATACTCTGTTCGTCAACAGCCTATAAATGCCCACTGCTGAGCAAAGCCTCTTCTCACACGGAGAAGGTTTGAGCATTAATCACCACGCTTGGTTAATGCGGGTTGGCGATTACAAACTTATTATTAGAAATTATAAGCCCAGGTTTCCTCACGATGTTTTCCTTCACCGTTTGTCAGTGGTGTCTAGATAATCTTCGATAATAAGTTTGTCAAAATTGACTCAGCAATTTCAGCACATGGAACGAAAAACAAATTCATATATAGTTGCATTTCAATACAGTTGTAAAGCTATCATGATTTAATGATATAACATTCCTATCTCTTACCTATGTCGCGGAGAACCTAACGGGTTACCGGGGCTCCGGCTCGACGTGCAGGAGAAGGAACGGGGTGGTTTTTAATCAGTAAGAGTCTGACACTCCCTTCCGCCTCACCCAGGCGGGAGCAGTCATTCGATGATTTTCCCCCCTTAAAAAAAAAAAAAAATCTCTTACCTATATCTCACCAATAGAGAAATGTTCTCTTCTTATCGGATAAAACGCAAATGACGAAAGGAATTCTAGGTTTCTTGTTATTTAATGTCTATTGAAAGGTCTTATTTAACATCTTATATTATTCTCTTAGCTCAATTAAAGCAGTTAACGGATTCACAAGGCGCTCCGCTGTCCTCGAGTATCTTTTCATTCATTCGTACCGCACCAAGGTACCAAAGTGTTTGTATGTCTTGTATCGATACTATGAAGGCAAGTGTGTTTATAGTTTTGTGTTTGATAGTATAATTGATTCTAGATTTAATTTAGGTCGAGTATTGTATCTTAGCCAACCTAACCTACCCATAGGTACTGAATACCCACCTTTTTTATTGTATTGTGATGACATACGACTGCCGTATAAGTACGATTTCTAAGGAAGGCAGTGTGATATAATTAAATTCAATAAAAAGTTGTGTATAAATCGTTTACCGAAAAGAGGTTTGTGGTAAATCTCTTTCTGAAACTTGTGTATGTACAATGTAGACATCGACATATAAAGGAATCGACAAGCGGCCGTCCCTCCAGGGTTTTATAGACGCAGTGTCGCCGGGCGGGCAGTCCGGCACAGACGGCAGTGGCGCGTCGCGTCCCGAGCACGCCGCACGCGTCTGCCAGCCACGCCGCGAGCCGCCAGCCGCGAGCTCACACATTCCCGCAAACTAACACGATCGATAACACAAACCCGCGATAAAAAAACAAATCCTTCAACTACCGATCTCATCAAAACCACCTCTAAACCGCTCATCCCGATTATCATGCTAAACATTTTTATGTAACTCATTTTAGATGGCAACATCGATAGCGCGTGGCGCACCGGCGTCAACAATGTAGCCATAGTGACGCGATCGTGTTGACAGTTTGACAGAACATGACACTAAAATACCGTTGATTTTTGAATAAACATGTTTTTAAAACGTTATGTGTTGGTTGTTATGTATTGTTAAGATGACGACAATAATTTTGGTGGTTTGAATTGTTGGTAAAGTACTATACGAAAATGGGAAATGGAATGAACAAGGTAACTTATTATTTTATTATTTAGAAATAAGTTTTATATTAATTTTGTTATGTGTTGGAAGCTGAATGCGCGAGGAATGTGCAAGCGGTGATAGTTACGTAACGATATCGTAGCGGCTCGTAGCTCGTAGCGGCCGCGTAGAGGCCGTAGCGGGATGCAAGCGGCTACGTTTCGTAGTCAATTTAAATCAGAGATTTTTATGAGGTGATATTACCTTGTTGTCAAAGTTTGTATTACTACAGAATGTTATCAAAATAGAGTGTATTCTCGAAATGCTTCAATACACATTTACATTATTTAAAAAAAACCTTATCTAACATTAATTATTTTTATATCAATCCATGTTCCCTTCCAACTAGTTCCCTAATCTACAAAATCAACTCAACCTTGTAAAAATAAACTTTATAAAGTGTCGATTTATGAATTAAGTAATTATTAATTTAAAAAAAATCACTTTTATATTATACGTAGGTATATTTTTATACGTACGTATAAAAATAATAATTATGATTTGATTAAGTTTGCGAAAGTTGTACCTATTTATGAAATGACTAAAATTAGTTTTCAGGTTTTAAATACCAAATTAATATTTTTTGATAAAAACCTAATAAAAGTACCTAATTTATATTATACACATCACATAAAAGATATATCATACCTAAATAAGTAGACACCAAACTAAGAAAATAGGTATTAGTCAATGAAAAGTAACTCATACATCCATAGCATTAAAGTTGATTATTCCTCACATCTATCGTTATAAGTTATAAGCTAAGTATCTTCATTAGACATTTTATTGCTCTTTCTCCCACAGACGATCCACATTATAGAAAGGTGTTCTAATAATTACATCACTTTTCTTTGGAACTGATTAATATTTTATTTCTAAGCGTCCCTAAGTAAAAAGCGCAAAAGAAATTGTAGGTATTATACTTTTTTAAGTGCGTGAGAGCCATGTCTCGGCACGAATGGGCCGGCTCGACCGGAGTGATACCACGGCCTCACAGAAAACTGTCGTGAAGCAACGCCTGCGTCATGTTTCGTCATGTGAGTGAGGTTACAGGAGGCCCAATCCCCCCTTCCTCAATCTCTCCAATCCCTGAATCCTCAAACTCCTAATCTCCAAAAGGCCGGTAACGCATTTGTAACGCCTCTGGCGTTTTAGGTGTTTATGGGCGACGAAGATTGCTTACCATCAGATGATCCACCAGGTGATCCGTCAGGTCGTATACCGGCTTATCCCATAAAAAAAGTTGATATTCATTTGGTTGTTTGTAATCGATTCTGTTCGGTTTAGTACAGCTAAAAAGCTATATAATAGATAGAAAAACAAACTCATTTTCGCATAATATTATTTAACTACAAGAATAATGTCGCCTATAAAAAAAGTTGCTCAATCGGTTCAAGACATCTACTTCAAAGGTCAGTTAGGAGATTTCACTTCTTACACAAACATTCATACATCCTTTGCAAGATAAGTTAAAGCTTGTATATCAGAGTACGCATTCCACACAAAGACAAACAAGATGTTACATTATCGTTACACGATGACAACAAGAATCGTTAAACTACCAAATTAATTGATGGCAATTGAACTACATTACCTTATATTGCCTTTCTATTGTCTATCGTGAGTTTCCGTTCAAATCGTAAACTTGGCAATAGGCAATAACGAAATCTGTAATCGTGATCGTAAACCGACGGTAATAAGACGATAATACAAAGTTTAGTACAAATATATAGTATTTAAAATGCTTTTTGTGAGGTTCAATGACCTTTCTTTGCCTGAGGCCTTGTACGAGTTTGTTTTACGAGTATGCGTTCGGCACTCTGATTGGCCGGCACCAATGAAGCAACCAATCACAGGGCCGAACGCGTACTGTTACGATTACTTTAAATGAAAAAGAAACTCGTGCTATGGCCTCCTCAGTATTGGTTTCGGATACGAACAATTTGTATGCGCATACTATTTTGTTCTCTAGACTTTGTTTTGTTGCCTTTTTCTCTGGATTGGGTCGAAAGTCTTAAACAAAGATGACAGTACTCTGTCAGAAACTATTCCTTTTTGTTAGGACTGGCTGTCAACTAGATTTGGCTGACTGCTGATTGTTAGTATTTTCCGTGGAGTAATTGTCGTTCATATCTCTCTATGTTAAACTATAAGTAGGTACTATATAGCATAGCATTAATTGGTATATGATGTTGGTGATGAAGATTTGCGTAAAAATCTTTGCATATTATAATGCTATTATTTTCTTAGTAAGAATCTATGTAGACTTCTAAGTATTTTACTATCGATATAGTAATTTAAAGATCTGTTTCGGATTAAATAACTGCGGTTACCTATCCCAAAACATTTTGGTAATTCAGACACATCAATCAAACTCTTACGTTGTCTGGACGGAATTCCCTCTTTGTGCGGAATTCCGGAGTAAAACCGTTCGCCCTACGGGGTTGCTCAATCTACTTAACTATCCCAAAGGTCTTTGTTTGTGGTTCGCTCAAATACATCTGTTTACGTTAACCAATGCTCATATAAAATACAAAACTGTTGTAGAAATAATAATGTTACTAGATGTACGAGCTTGGAACTGTTTTCTTTGATTTTTAAAGCTTAAAAAAAGAAGATCACACTTCTTGGTTTTGAAACTAACTTGGAACCATTTCTAGTGCTAAACATTAAGAGCTCTTCTTACTGTATGTTTGTCATCTTGATCAACGCACGATATATTTCGGCCAAGCTATATTGAATATTTAAGCTTAACATCCTATTTATTGCAATTCAATACATCGTAAAAGATGACACAAAAAATCGCAATATAAACTAGCCTAATCCTGAAGATAACAATTCTGCTGATTAAAACACAAAATTTTGGTTTCAAGAAATTGAGCCATGTCTGCTATCAATCCAGTTAAAATTAAAACCCAGATGCTTATAAGTTATTGCGAAGCTTAAGAAGGCGGGAGGATTATGATTTGTTAAATAAAAGTTAAAGTCTTTCAAAGAAACACCCATCATGTCCAACCACTACTTCCTAGCTCGACATGTTTGAAATGCATAGAAAACTATAGGAAAAATTGTTTAATTTTTATCAAATCTTAATTCGAAGCTTCCTTTTACTTATCACTTAGTGCGGTAACAAAACCCCAACGGTAGTAATTAAAGTATCTAGGTAGTACCTATCTATCGCAGAGTAATCGATTCATTACAGTTCTTGACACGAGGTCAAGTCTCAGCGCGCTAAAGTGCACTCCTTCACGATACCCGACCTCACTGCCGCAGTGAAACCTTCGTTCTAGAACCTTGCTTATTATATTATGTTTTTAAATATATAATAGCACTTCGTAGAACTTTGTATTTCTGTAAGTATGTAAGAAGATAAACAGCTACAATCTTGTTAGAAATGTACCTTCCTATTGCGTGCAACTCGAAAGGTTTGTTCAACTAATCTGACCAATTCTATGCACACATAGCTACGGTAACTTTGCTTTAATATTAGAATATAAGAACTAAGTATCCGATTTGTTTGAACATCAGTCTAAATCGGATCACAATTTGGTCAATTTTTTTTATGGAATAAGCCGGTAAACAAGCATACGGATCACCTGATGGAAAGCAATCGGCGTTGCCCATGGACAACTGGAACACCAGAGGCGTTACAAGTGCGTTACCGGCAATTTTGGGAATTAGGAGTTTGAGGATCGTTGGGGATTCAGGGATTGGGGAGATTGGGGAAGGGGAAGGTAATTGGGCCTCGGGTAACCTCACTCACACGACGAAACACAACCCAAGCGTTGTTTCACGTCGGTTTTCTGTGAGGCCGTGGTATCACTCCGGTCGAGCCGGCTCATTCGTGCCAAAGCATGCTTCTCCCACACCTTATCCCCACAATTTCTCTTTTATCTGACATCTGACGTCAACTTTTGACCCTGGAATAAATACCAACAGGATCACGTGCCCAAACCCATTGCAGATGTAGATTATTATTGCTTTTGGTTATCAAAATTCTTTATAAAGTATCCAAAGGGAACATGGAAGCAATGTTTCATTACAATGGATTTCAGTCCTGTTCCAATCTCAAAAGATTTATCCAAAAAAACACATACTGTCCAAATGTCATAAGGGAAAAGCCAGGCGCCATTTTGCTGGCCATAATTCCAACTGTAACCGAGCGAAATTTTCTATCAGAAAAACAATATCACGCTTTTGTCTGACCTGGGATTTAGGGATTTAGCGGATTCGTCCATTGTAACCTTAGTGTCTCATTACATCTAGTAAATGATTGCAAAGTCATATTATGAAGAAAGTATTAAGTACAACAACAAGGAAATATTAAGTATTTTTTTTTGTATTAGAGATAGGAAGGACGTTAATGGAAAATTATAAATAAATAATTAGCTTATAATTATCTCCAGCCTTCTAACTTTCTTCGGATATAAAATCATCGCAAAAGCGCTCTATTGTGACGGAACAGAATTATAAAAAACTAGCTCATTTCGCATTTATTTACTATACCGTAAAGTTAGAAACGTGTTAAAAATAGACAATAATAGGCATGCAGATTAAATTTAAAAAACGAACTGAATTTTATTTTTTCTTTTTAAAAGTATTTAACTATGAAACTGTCATTCCCTGGGTTCTTTTACCAAACGACTCGTGATCGCCAAGCAAACGAGTTTCTCTGCTATTTTGATGGCACACCTTCAAACTTCAAGACTAAATTATCTTAGCAAAGTTAAGGCAATTAAGGAAGTACGAAGTGTGATAAAATACTAAAAGCAAACATTTTTGTTTAATGTAAACTTCACTGGAGTTGGTGAAACAAGAACAGAGATCGCACAAGATGATTTGAGTTTAGAGATTGAAGCGAGAAGGTGTTAATTTGTTTGTTAAGAGTTGATTCGGCCGGAGTCATATTGTGTTAGTAGGTATATTAATATATTATGATTTCAAAAACGTACACATCTTTGTAAAAAATAAAAGCCTTAAAAATTAAGGT